TATATATATATATATATATATATATATATATATATATATATATATATATATATATATATATATATATATATATATATATATATATATATATATATATATATATATATATATACTGCGTTTTTGCGGTTGAGATGCACTCGTTTTGCGCATGCTCAAGGGCACCACACTGTACTGTAATATGTCTGGTTAATTTTATAAAATGAGACATTATTGCGTCTTATGTAATTAAACAAACTGAATCTCGAAATGTCTGTTTGGGCCTTCTGAGTAAATGTTTATTTTTCGTTTATATGTTCCAACGCCGTTCAATACTAGCCTATATTATTATATACATAAGTTGGCAAAAAATATCCATCTCAGTTAGGTGCATGGGATAAAGCCTTCATATGGAAAATTTTATCCCACTTGATTGAGATGCCACCTAGGGCGGGGGGAGATCTCACCTATAGCTCTGGCTGGTATCATATGAACACGAATTGAATTTTAATATATATGCGTTAACAAAGGGCATGCATGCAGACCTCTATAAATGTAAACTTAGTAAGTAATATACGCCGATTTGGAGGTTATATATATATTTAAAAAATTGTCGCATTAGTATCGTTTAAAACAGAATATTTAATAGTGAATGTATGTATTTTGCATTGAATGGGTATGCATACCAGTTGTTGCAGTCGCTGCAGTTGCACTTTTCATTTCTGGTATTTACAGACTCGCTAGAATCTATAGTGTAATTTGAAATAGGCACAAAAATGTGATAAAGGTCTGTTATATCAGGTTTCAACACCTTTGACTTTGTAAATAAATTTGATTCGGCTCAAACCGATCGAGATTTCAGAGAACGCGCGGGATCACATTGGTTAGGCTACCTCAGGTTGTATAAAAATCATGTATGCCCTATTTTTTTTACTTGTATGATGCTAGCCATCGTTATTCTTCTCGGCATTCGACAATTGCCGAGGCATGACTTTCCTCGGCAAAAAAGTAGCCGATTTTTCCAAGGCAAAAATAGCCCAATTATACACGAAGTCTGGTCTGGCCTATTTCAAAAAAATAATTAAACAAAAATAATACATGCAATTACATTTATTTTTGAATAGATATAGTTTTCATGCCGTTATAATAGACAATGTAGCCCATTAGGAAAAGTAGTTTTTATTGCCAGCTACCAAATTTGGGAAATGAATACATATATTACCTGTCTTTTGCCTTCAATTTGTTGGGCCCACATGAGAGAAAGGAATATTCAATTTGAAGCTTTGGATTTTGGTCGTTATTGTATTGATGTACAGCTAATTCAATTACCCTTTCAAAGTCAAAACTGGACACCGCGAAGCGTGACTATAAAAGCACTATGATTTGCATAGAGTATGTATAATTCATACTTCCGATACACCGTAGTTACGGTTGCTATGTCCCACAAGTTTTGGTTTGGGTATAAGGCTATACGTTCACACTGCACCAAAGCGAATAATAATGCGGGCAAAATTTACGACAAAATAAATTAGCACTCATGTAAACCCAAAATATTTCAAAGAGAGCAAAGAAATTTAAATAAAAAGCATTCGACTTTACTGTTTTGAGACCTTTCACTCCGACGATAATGTGAACATAGTAAAAAAAAAGCGATTTATGATTTACGAATGGACCATTTGCATTATAGACTAAATTTTGATCTAGACAAAAATTTCATCACAGCTTGAAAGAGCATCACAGAATTAGTAATATTCCAAAGTTTCGTTGCGAAATGTTGTAAAATGCGGATAATGTAGCCATGCGAAGTTTGCCGTTTTTCAGTCATTTTGTATTACGCACGGGAAATTGACAGCCCAATCGGGTGTTGGGCCATCAATTTCCCGTTTGTAATACAAAATGAGTGAAAATTGCAAATTTCGCAAGGCTATATTATCCGCATTTTACAACATTTCGCAACGAAACTTTGGAATATTACTAATTTTGTGATGCTCTTTCAAGCTGTGATGAAATTTTTGTCTAGATCAAAATTTAGTCTATAATGCAAATGGTCGTTTCCCTTGGCCTTGATTTTCGCCTATTTCAGATTTGATTTGCTCGTCTAATCCAATTCAATAGCGCGAACCCGTCAGAATTGCATGGTTGGGGTTTTAAACTTTCAACGTTAAAGAAAGTTGCTTGTGCATGGGGACTTGCTTTACTCCTTTTGGGAATTAAATTCACTTGATTAGCATAAAAACTAGACATATATATTAACAAGCAAATCAAAGCAACTATGTCTATGCATACATGAAACACTCGAAAAACTAAAATTCAGTCGTGATATTATTTCGCTTGGTGTATAAAAACAATTATTTTGTCCGCTGTGTACACTCAGTAAGCAAACACTGCTACTTAAATAATCAGTGAAGGTATAGTTTGTTATTGCTAAAAAAACAATTATTTAATAAAGCTGCATAAATATTTCTATGGAAGTGAAATTTTGAATTTCGAATTTCCATGCTGTTCGCCAAATATGGTCATGAGTTCCCAGTGGCGGCGGAACAGGGGGTGGGGCGGTCTAGAGGAGCTATAGCCCCCTACAGAGCTAAAAGGGCGGGGGGGGGGGAAATACGATCAGAGTAAGACAATAATACGAAGAATCTTGACAGTTAGACCTTTTTACCGATTTCTATTTATCGAACCTTTTTACCGCAATTTAAATTTTAGATTGTAAAACTTGTAAATAGAACAACATTTTATAATAGTTTTGTTTGTGGAAACACCACGTAAATTTATTACTGCAAAGTTTTCGATCCGTAAGCCCAGATCTTCATCAGTGCTAATAATGTGTGGAATTTTTTCCTATTCAGGGAACACAATAAAGTATGTAATGTAATGTTATACAAATAATGAATGTTTATGAGTGCAATGGTAAGAATATTTTCATGAGGTGAAAGATGGAATGTTCCATTCAACGAGGCGACAGCCGAGTTGAATGGAACATTCCATCTTTCACCGAATGAAAATATTCTTACCATTGCACGAAAAAACATTCCTTATTTGTTTTATATAATATCAAAATAGACTAATAGATTCGTATGAGAAGCATTTTGAGGGATGCGATTTATCGAAAACACAAAGAGTGCAGTTGTACTATACGTTTTATTCCATTGCACTCGCAGAGAGTGCAATGGAACGTATTCCATTGCACTCTTGGGAAATGGAATTTTCTATTCAATATCACGTGACCATAAATAACCAATTAAACGATCAGAATTCAATAAGGTATTATATAAAATGTAATAGCTATACGTGCGAACACGAACGGCAAAGTTTAAATTTTATAATTTGTCGACATAGAACGTATAATCGTTTGCACGTATGTTGACACAACTCTTAGGCACACGGATTTTATGCTTTTGATCCATGATATCATGATGTCTTGTAAGTTTAAAAAAAAATTATTATGCAATGTGACGTCATGATAGTAAGGATAATTTTCATTCAAAAAGTTTGTTACTTATGAAATACCTAATTCAATAAAACTTAAAAGGATAGAATTTAGTTTTCTGTACGATATAAGGTGTATCTGCATGTTGAGTTAATTATTACATACTTATAAAGTTATAATAATATACAAAGTTCAGAAATAATACCAATCGAATAACCCCCCCCCCCTGAAACCATATACTGCTGTGCCTATATGCATGCCATGGCTATACGAAGTCGAGGCCGCTATATGACTGCAAAACCCATACAGGAACATTAATTGGACACAACATCGGTCAAGAATATTTGTAATTCTTAAGCCGGTTACAGACGAGCAAGTTTTCTATGACAAGTTTTTATGTGACAAGTTTTATTTGCTCGTCTGTACGCGCAACTTTGACAAGTTTTTCTATGACAAGTGCACTGTCTTGTTCAAAAGCTAGCATGCTATAGCTTTTGAACAAGTGCACTTGTCATGGAAAAAATTGTCAAAGTACAAATTTTGTTCGTCTGTATGGGTCAACAAAGAAAACTTGTCAAAGTAATCTGAGCATTTGATGTGATTGGCCATCGGACTATTATAATTTTTCTGTCATGGCGGCGATAAACACCTTTTTCTGACACGTTCACACCAGTAAATAAACTTGTCATATGAAAACTTGTCATATAAAATTTGTTGCATATACACACGTGTACTTGGCAAATAGAACTTGTCACATAAAAACTTGTCATAGAAAACTTGCTCGTCTGTAACCGGCTTTATAGTAGACTATAAAATTGTTATTGTAGGCATTGTGTCATTTACATTGTTCACATGAGCTTGTTTTTTTACATTAACTGTTCAAGAAGTAAAATCCCGGCTAGCCGGGACGGGATGCTTCAACATCCAGCTCATAATACTATTGAGTGTTTATATGATTCCCCCACTTATCCCACCTAGACGGGATCTCGGCAACAGATGCCGGGATCCCGCTTAAGCCAGATAAAAAAAATCCCATATAAAAAAACTTCATCCCGGCTAGGCGGGATGAACTCTTGCCTTGTCCTTGAGCATGCGTAAATGCCTTTTCTGCAAAAAAATGACGTCAAGCACTTTAATAAATGTCTTCATCCCAGCAATGTATTTTATCCATATATAAACACGCTATCCAGCCTAGACGGGAAACTCGCCTAGCGGAATGAAAACGTCACGTCCCGTATTGGGAGAGTTTGACCAGTTTCACCAATGTAAACCAGGTTTCTGAGAATCATTCACGTTGTCCTTATATATGTGCAAAAAGCTCAAAACAATTTGTTTTCACTGGAATGGTATACCTTTATACCTGCTTCTTTCTTCAAAATCCACCCGATTTTATGTGAAGCCGGACAAATGTATATGGTAGACAAACAGAAGACTGATATTCATCAATCTTCTGTTGTACACTTTGTGGTGTTTTCATAGCATTATCCATGAAATGCCGGGGATAACCATTCATTTTTAGAACATTTCTTCAATGTTCTAATTCATCGTCAATGTTACTTACCTCACAAATTGTTTTCGCTCGGTTGATATATAAGTGTCTTACATGCACATAGAGTCTTACACATCTAAGAAGGGTATATGTATAGTTTTATCATCCTTCTGTACTTCAAAAGTATAAACTTGATAGAAGGATGCAAACTATTAATGTGGTCTAGAAACTTTTGTAAATTATCTAGTCCATGAGACCAGCTACTCATGAGACCAGCTATACTCATGATGACGCGGGCCATCAGATCACCACACTTTTGGTATATAAAAGGATCGTGTGAAAATTTGCTACACGAGGAGCGTGTGAATTGAACAAGTCGCATATTATTAGCACTGATGAAGATCAGAGCTTAGGATCGAAAGCTTTGCAGTAATAAATTTACGTGGTGCATGTTTCCACAAATAAAAAGTATTATATGTTTTATCGCCACGCAATCTACAAAGAACTTAAATACCATTTATATAATCTGGCTATATAGTATAGTATATATATAATTGTATTATATAATTGTAGTAGTATTTGTAATTCGGAAGGGTTTCATCCTAGTATGTTTTCTATAATATCAACTTTGGTGAGAAAGAGCGGTTATAATATATACGTTGACGAATCTCATATTTACAATAATTGTAAAATTAACTGATAAAAAATGTGTGTATGTGCATACCAAATAATCATCGTTTATATGTCCACACTTTTTCCCGTTTTTTGAAGCCATTTTTCTCCTTCCAAGACGAGAGAAATCTGGTGTGGCCATGCTGTATACTAAGTCTGAAATGAAGCTGATCTTGCCTCACCAGCTTCTTTAAAAAGCTTTGCTATAGGCCCCAGTCCACTTACAGAGTCGTGCGCGGGGAAGGACAGCGGGGCCAACCTTGACCCAGAGAAAATTCAACTTACAATTGTTTTAGTGTTATTGTTAATTATTAAGCCAAGTGGCGCTTATATTGTGAATGAGAGTGTTTAATTCTGTATGGGGCGGCCATATAAGCATGCACTTGCTTTGAATGTATTCACATTTGCAGGGTATACTTACTTTAACGTTTGGGTTAACATATTTTTCATAGTTGGCGTGTGTATGTATCTTAACCAATAATTTTAGAAAGTTTTCTCATTTTATAAAGTAGATGGCTAATCATGGCTTCTGTATTTCCCGTTCGTGGAAGTCGAACAAGTGAGGGTATGTCATAAAAAGTATATCGTTGACAAGTTCAACGTACGTGCTTTGGACGAAAAGGAAACAAAGCAATGGGGCTTTCGTGTAGCGAGTTCGCCGAATCCCCTGCTGACTGCTCCATCAAAGCATGGACGAACTGCGTATGAACGTAGCAGGCGATGGGGCAGGAATCAGGATTTCATCAAAACACCAGCGGGTAATTATACTTAATAAAGTTTTTTGTTTATGATAAAGCTAATGCATGTCATTTTTAGTGTATGACTATTTTCGAAGACAACACTATTTTTTGCTCCCCGTATTTGTAGACATTTACATAGCGCGCGAAGCATCACGGTTGACTGTGCATGATTCTTATAAACATGCATGGTTATAGGAATTAATGCCGGCAAACTTCCAGGTGGGATGTTGATCGATGTTAATTAGCCTTTCTCACGAACGTTTAGCGTTTTGGGGTACTATTTTATAAACAACGTGAAAAATCTAAGCGATGCATGTGAAAATATTTAACTGTAAATCGATTTATAATCACTATACTTACAACTATAGTTATAGAAAGTTTCATTTTCACTGAAAGGCTAATTGAGACATTACGTGTCATCGAAGGTGCACGAATGCTGTATAAAAACATGCATATGCTCATTTTTTGAGTAAAGTAAATTTGAAATTTTCCTCAAAACAGCGTATAACAATTTTCTATAGCGTCCAGTAAACAACATTTTAATTTAAGTGCTTTCAATATCCGTTCACTTTTCTCTACGTATAGATACTCAAAATGTTATGTATATGTTTGCTATCACATGATATGGTCAACTTCATATCATGTGTTGTCAAAATTTGCATAGTGAGCAAATAATGCCGCTAACTGATGCTTCCATTGCAAGCAATATGTAATATTATATTTATAGTTAAAGAGTCATTGTCAACCACAATGCATTTGTTTACATCTTATCTTCGGAAGTGAAAAACAGCAACAAATGACGATTATAAACATTTCTTTGGTGCAATTTTAGTATACAAAAGTTAAAATGAGCAAGTAAAACCATAGGATGGTAGTAATATATTATGGATTGAAAACCGAAACATCTATTATTCCGCCATTAAAGTGGCCGCCAAGCAGGTTTGGGCGCACAATGCATTGTGGTTGACAATGATTCTTTAACTACCAAACAAAGGTGGCACCCTTAAGGCTTAAGACAAAAATAGCGACTATATGTACCGACTGCTATGGTATATATGTTTATCCAACTTTTCTAGAACCGACTGTTTAATCCTAAATTACAGAATAAAGTTGATATAAGATGCCACACGCTGGGTAAAGTGTAGCCCGCCTGCACGGTGGCACAACAACCTCTGCATGGAACCATGCAGGGTATATATATATATATATGCATATAGTCACGCCACCACATTTTTTAGCCTAAAGCCTGCAAATATAGCGAAGCGCGGTCAATATACGATGATTTAGCATCCATTCCTGTAAAATTCAGAATTTTACATATACGAAATTTGAGTTTACATATATGAAAGTAAAGCTATATAAAATAATGTTAAATTATTACAATTTTTGCATAATTGCAGCTTGTTGACTTTGTTAGTTAAGTAAGGTTAAAGTTTAAACTCTAATAAATAAGGTTTAAAATATATTTTGTTTACGTTTGCTATTTCAGTTCGCGTAACATAAAATTGACATTGAACTGAGATTATTTTTCGGTTTAATAGGTCGCGTGATTTTGGAAAACGAGTAAAAACACCGAGTAAAGTGCTGTTGTACTTTTCCCATGATGCAATAAAGCTCCTTGAAAGTTAGATAATAGAAATGTAAGGACAGTCAATAAGATATTTATGACGAATTAAGCCTACGGAGGACATGTTACAGAATAAAGTTGATATAAGATGCACCCACAAGGATTACTGGAATGAACCCATGATGAACCCACAAGGATTACTGGAACATCAGCAACTCTAATTGATTTAATTCTGACAAATAAAGAGGAAAATATTTCAAAGTCTGGTGTCATACACCTTGGCCTTTCTGATCACAGTATGATTTTCGCTATTAGAAAACATTGTATTCCCAAATCACGGGAAAAGGTTAAACATATTCGTAACTTTAAAAATTTCAATGCCAATGATTTTCTTACGGATCTTTCACAGATGCCGTGGGAGAACATTGCCCAACATGACAATTCTAATGTATGCTGGCAGGTATGGAAATCACTATACCTCCAGGTCCTTGATCGACACGCTCCCCTTAGACGTATGAGAACTCGTGGAAATTCTCTCCTTGGATTTCTTCAGACATCAAGGGTATAATGAGATCAAGAGACTTCCACAAAATAAAAGCGGTTAGATATAATTCTCAAAGTCATTGGACAAAATATAAGGAATTACGAAACAAAGTTAATGCTGAACTAATTAAAGCTAAAAGAAACTATTTCTGCAATAAAATAGAAGATTGTGCTCAGTCCAAAGACATAAAGCAAAGTTGGAATTTAATTAACCACCTCATGGGTAAAATGTGAAATCAAACACGATATCCCAACTTAAAACGGATAATTCTGTCATTTCAGACGATAAATTGAAATCTGAGGCTTTTAATGATTTCTTTGTCAATATCGGGGCAAAACTTGCAGCTGAAATTGAAGATAATTCCCTCAACACAAATTCTTTTGCTCGCGGAGATTCTAGGCCTACTACCGACTCCAATCTTTTTTTCAAATTTTTTGAAATTAACGAGGACGAAGTAATATATCAATTGCGTAGTCTCAAAATTTCAAAATCCACAGGATTAGATAACATCCCTGCTAAAGCCCTTAAAATATCCGCGGACATTGTTGGTCCGCCATTAACTTGGATATTTAACCTTTCGATCAAAAAAGGAGAATATGTGGATGAATGGAAAAAAGCCTGGGTTACACCCATTTATAAATCTGATGACAGGTTGAAATGCGAGAATTATCGCCCTATCTCGATACTACCCATTGTTAGTAAAATACTTGACAGATGCGTTTTTAATCAAATTTATAAATTTCTTAATGACAATTCACTTCTTTCAAAACATCAACATGGTTTTCGGCCTAAACATTCAACTCTCACCACTCTAACTCAGGTGTGCGATACTCTTTATGAAAATATGGATAATGGTCAATTGAGCGGCATTGTTCTTCTTGACATTCGTAAAGCCTTCGACTCAATTGATCATAATATTCTGCTTCATAAATTAAAAGATCAATTCGGTATATCGGATATTGAGTTAAGATGGTTTGAGTCTTACTTAAATAATAGGGAGCAAGTCTGTATTGTTAATAATTCAACGTCATCGTCAAAAAGGATTGTTTCTGGGGTTCCGCAGGGATCTATTTTAGGTCCACTGTTATTTTTACTCTATATCAATGACCTCCACGAATGCCTTCAAAAAACTACTCCTTATTTATATGCTGACGATACCCAAATTTGCTGCAGCTCTAACAGTTTGATTGAATTAACCGAAAACCTTAATCACGATCTGAGTAGAATCGGTGATTGGCTTTCTAGAAATAAATTACAACACCACCCAACTAAGACCAAAATAATGTTCTTTGGCTCTAAACATCATATTAATTCCACAACTTTTGATCATCCAGTGATGTTAAATAACCAACGCATCCCCAGAGTTCACTCTTTCACATGTCTTGGTCTCGATTTAGATGAAAATCTTAACTGGAATTCACATATTCAGGTGATTTGCAAAAAGGTTGGAGCAGGCCTGGGTACTTTGAGACGTATTAAACCCTTTGTTCCAATAACCACCCTTCAAACAATTTATCGAGCTCTGATTCAGCCGTATTTTGATTATTGTTCTCCCATTTGGGGCGTCTGTGATCAAAATTTGAAAAATAAACTCCAAAAATTTCAAAATCGCGCAGCTCGAATCATTGTCGGTGCAAGTTATGAGATTAGATCTGCTGATGTTCTTCAATCTCTTGCTTGGGACAATTTAGAGACAAGACGACGTACAACCAAAGCAATATTAATGTTTAAAGTCTTGAAGGATTACGTAGGACCTACGTTGAAAGAATCCTTGATAAGACGCAATCATATGCAAACAAATTATGATCTTAGAAATAGTCATACAGATTTGGCTCTTCCTAAGCCTAAAAGAGAATTCCTAAAAAAGAGTTTTAAATACAGTGGGGCTAAGCTATGGAATAGTCTCTCTATCGATACGAAACTGGCAGAATCAATGCACCTGTTCAAAAGCCATTTAAAACTTAACTCTAATACTATATATATTTGAAATAAATTGTAACTCCGTCTAACCATAACATCTGGGGTCACACCAATTTGTAAATACTCTTCTTTTCCCTTATATCTTTTGTAATTTTTAACATTGTAGACGCCCCCCGTGGAAACCAACGCACCGTTGACGGGGCTAGTATCTCTAAATAAAGTTTTAATACAAATACAATAGTATAGTCATATGCAACCACATTTTTGTAGCCTAAAACCAGTGAAATTCAATCAATATTCGATAATTTACCATCTTTTCATCGGTGAAATTCAGAATTTTACATATACGCAATTTGGGTTTACATATGAAAGTAAAGCTATTTAAATTATGTATAATTAAATTATTACAATTTTTGCATAGTTGCAGCTTGTTGACTGTTAAGTATATCCAATTCTTTGACATTTAACTACGTGCACTCGTGTCTTTTTAGCCCAAACAAGAAGAACTACGAATATTTAAGCCCCGTTTACACTACGCTCAAATTTTGGTACGGCACGGATAAAATTGGTACCAAAAATCGAGCGTAGTGTAAACGGGCAACCAACACTCCCAGATTTACTGTGACAACAACTATGCATTGCCATTTAGCCAACCCGCGCGCTTTTAGATAATTGCATGTATAAGGCTAATGTTTTCATAAATGTGTCTGGTCGCGGCTGGAGGCTGGTTTTATTGGCTATAGCTATATTTTCACGAATTATTTCACGCATGCATGTGAAATTATTACCAAACCCGCGAAAAGGAAGAAAAGTGTCTTCTTTTCATGTCAAAACATTCTGCTAAAATGTCAAACTATTATTAGCTCATTTCAGCGTAATTTCCCGCAGGCCAATCAGACGTAGTCTGCTCGCAGGCTGCATCCCGCTCCCCCCTGGTTCACGGGATGACATTCCTTTGACGCTAATGCCGTTCAGCTACCGGCGAAATATGATCGGCCTTTTTCATTGGTTCATTTCAAAATTATACTTGCATAAATCTGCTTAGCTAATTTCGAGACGAGTATATGTGCTGTTGGGCAGACATTGCCGCACAAAAGAGTATTTAATTTTTTGGGATGAATAACTTCCTTTCAACCACAAAGTTCCGCTTGATAATCGAATACTTATAGTTTACAAACTGGTTTGTCAATATTGTTATATGAACTTTGGAACGAAATTTGCGAATTTCGGAACATTTTGGCAAACGTTTTGTGAAATCGACCATGCGTGTACGCACGAAAACGTTTAAACCCTTTTAAATGTTACTTATCATGAAATACCTAATTATTATACTATAATAATATACAAAGTTAAAAAATAATACCAATCGAATAACCCCCACTGAAACCATACTGCTATAAAGTCGAGACCGCTATATGACTGCAAAACGCATACAGGAACATTAATTGGACACAACGTCGGTCAAGAATATTTGTAATTCTTATAGGACTGGAATACAATATGTGACAAAGACTATAAAATTGTTGTTGTAGTCATTGTGTCACTGTTGATGAATCATGAGCTTGTTTTTGTTACAACTGCTCAAGAAGTAGCCGACTTGTAAGCCTTAATAGAAAATGAAATGCACTCCCCGCAGAGTGCCCTATAGTATATAGAGGTTTCTCACGCTTCGTCGCTTCAGCCCTGAGCTATATCGTGGTGGTCTCAACATTAAGCAATTGTCGGAAAATTTGCTCACGAGCGTATATACACACGTGTTCAATTAGCAAAAAACATAACTTGTCATAGAAAACTTGCTCGTCTTTAAGCTCGTATCTTCATCAGCTAGTCATGATCATCATTGTTACATGTTTAAATTAACTCAGCATGTGGTAAGACACAGTCACGCACCTGCATATAGCTTCAATTAAAACCATATATATATTATATTATATTATATTATATTATATTATATTATATTATATTATATTATATTATATTATATTATATTATATTATATTATATTATATTATATTATATTATATTATATTATATTATATTATATTATATTATATTATATTATATTATATTATATTATATTATATTATATTATATTATATTATATTATATTATATTATATTATATTATATTATATTATATTATATTATATTATATTATATTATATTATATTATATTATATTATATTATATTATATTATATTATATTATATTATATTATATTATATTATATTATATTATATTATATTATATTATATTATATTATATTATATTATATTATATTATATTATATTATATTATATTATATTATATTATATTATATTATATTATTATAATACCGTCTGTAGTTAGATATTGCTCTATGGCCTTTAGGTCATATTGAGCACTCTACAGGATGAGCCATTGCTGCTTACTCATTTGTGCGCACGCTCACTGCTTGCAGTTTGAGCACTCTGGCAATGGTTTGATGTCCCACATTTTTGAGACATCAAAGGTAACTATTAATACTAGTTACTTCCATCCTGCTCACCAGCACTACACTGATGAGGCCTATATGTTATGATGAGAGTTATGCAGACTTATGTATAAACATATATTTTCATAGTAAATACCATTTATATAAGAATCTGGCTATTGTGTATGTATAATTGTAAATTTAGACTATACTTGGACTAAGGCCCCCAGTTTCACGATACCGGATTCATATCGGAATATATAAATTATTACACGACAGACATGCACAAACAAACAAACATGGGTATGGTACAAAATGTGCACATACCAAAACATCATCGTTTATATATCCACAATTTGCACATTTTCTTCCGGTTT